ACCCCTGCAACCCCCATTTGGACTTGTATAGTTTTGAAGAAGTTTCCGTGTTGTGAAGTTACTGCCTCAAATGCTTGGTTTCTCTAAACATCTGTACAGCACTCTGAATAGAGCTAGTTGGGAATCTAGCAATGAAGTACTGCCTTTCTTTTAGAAAATGAAGATTCCTTGAAACTGTACCCTTTCTAATGGCAATGCTTCTGTTTCCTTGGATGTTTTAGGTTGGGGGCAGGGGGAAAGGGTTGTGTAGCTATTTCTTCTCAAAACCAGACTAGGGAGTTGGACGTGTGTCTTCTACATCCCAACCAAGTGCTCTGTTCCCTAAGCTACTGGCTATGGTGGCACGGGTCTCTGTGAAGTCTCTACTTTTGGGAACTGCATCACTTCATATAAATTACAGGTGAGTGCCCTAACCACTGGGCTATAGTCAGGTATGGGAAGACCTGGTTGCACCTTGCCCTGGTGAATTATTTCGACAAAGTGGAATGGTACAAATGGGGAAGATTTGAGATCTGCCTTGGGGTGGGGAAAAAAAGTTAACCTAGTGGTTAGCGCAGAGTGAGAACTGACCTCTCCTGCCTTCAAGGTGAGTGCTTAACTACCAGCCTATTGATTACTGGGCCAGTAAGGATTATCTTGTTTGGTGGGGGTAGAGGGGGTCCTCCAAAATCTTTTGGAAGGTCTTGGGTTTGTCTTAATGCAGAATAGGAAAATATTTCAAGTCTCCAGTTTTTTGCGGGAGTAGAAACTTTTTTTTTTTCCAACCTAACTCTTAACTCCAAAAAAAAAAATACATCCTCAATCCTGATAGAGACCCTCGGCAGCTGCTGCTGCAATCGTTATGCTGCTCAGTTAGTTGTGGCATTTATAGCATTATCTTATTTGCTGTAAAGGTGGTTTGTGACCAGTTTTAACCCTCCTGTCACTCTTTAGCAGCCTCTTCCTTGTTAGTATTTCTGCACCGACTTGTTTTCCAGATCGTCGATTTAATTCTGAAGTAAACTTTTCAAGTAAGAAATTTAATTTTTCACAAAAACTCTTCTAGTCTTGAACAAAGATAAACTATATTTTGGTCTCTAAAGTGTTTTCTTAACTTTCTGCTGCCTCCATCTGAAACTTCTTCTAAAACTCTTATCTGTTACAGCCAGAAACCTGAATGGCATCCAGGTTTTATCATTTTCTGCTGACTTTTTACTAACTAAACTTGACATGAAGTCACAATGTTACACTTGCATGACAAGACATTGGAGCTAGTAAGAGCAAAAGGGTCTTCTGTTGTACTAGAAGTAAAATGGTTTTATTTTTCAGCCTTATAAACCGTCTGACATGTTGGAGGCTGGTTACTTGGTGAAATATGAGACTTCTTTATCTTATCTGCTGTTGCAGATCTGTGCTGTAGGAATCTTGTGCACTACTACGAAAGCCAAGGAAGTTTTCAGACTTGTGTCATCCATAGACCGCTCCTCTTGGAGTGAGCAGCATTGGAGCCTTTATCCCTTAACCATTCCTTATTCCTCTTTCCAGTGGTCCAGGACATCTGCTCAAGTAGCATTAGGATTTAGGAGAGACCACTCCAGTGATTAGTCTCAACTGGGATGCAGTGGTGTTGGGTACGCCACTATTGCAGCCACCAGGTAAAAATGCCTTGCACACCAGGAAGGGCTGTGGCACGTGTGCACTCCTTCCCCTTCCCCTCCCCATGCTCTTCCACCTGCTTCCTGCATCTGTTTTCAAGACACACCATGCAGGGTTGGACCAGGAAAGAGCTGGCTCCACTGCCTGTTTTAGGGTCATTGGAGGACCTTATTGAGGCAGGAGGGCATGTGCCTACTTCAGCCCTTCCCGGGCTGGCTGTGCAGCAGGTGCTCAGGGCAGTTTTACCTGCTAGCAGTTGCACCCAGCTGAGAACCACCAGTGGGATTCAACCAGGGATGCCACCACATTCAAAAAGTTTGGGGAGGGGCGTCTTGACCCTAAAGAGGCTGAGAACCTCTGGATTAAATCCATAACATTTATTCTTAGTTGTAGAAGGGCTTGTCTCCTCTGTTGGACCTAGATCAGGGATCCATGGTGAAGAGTTGGTAAACGTGCCCTATGAAATGTCCATTTCAAGCGCTAAGGCTACTTATGTGAAGTGTTCAGGTGGGAGGCGCTCATGGGAGACCTGTCTGGGCAGATTTACACTAGTGCTGATATCTTTGTCCCTGTGGGTTGACTGTTTGCCTCTCCCAGCACTACCTCCTTCCTGTCCTCCCGCTCCCCTTTCTTATAGTCCAGTCAGTCTCTCTATTTGATAGACTGCTCTGTGCATATCTTTTCATAGCATCTGACCAAGTGAAGGCTCGTGAAAGCTTATGCATTTCTGATACAGTTAGTCTGCAAGGTGCATGTCTGCCTTGCCTTCTGCCTGATTTCAGGCTAACAACTAACTACCTCTCTCTGCTCATGGGTGAGAAAATAGTTCTGCAGACTCTACAGAGAAAGCTTACACTTGTGGAAATGAACCTTTCTTGGCTGTAAGAGATGCTATTAATTTGATGTAAATTATCAGGAGACTTGGAAATCCTTGAATTTTTATTATCCTAGGTCACTTATACATGTGCAGGCTGGGGGTGGAGGCGTTTTAATTAGAGTGGCTCTCAGGAGTTGCTCTAATTAAAACGCCCGCAGTGTCTCTTGTTTTCAGCGCCCTGGATTTCAAAACGGTGGTGGGGGTTCGTCGTTCGACGAGCATTAGTTAAAGCAACTCCACTGCCACTTTTGAAACGGCGGGACGCTGAATACACAAGAAGCTGCGGCGTGCTGGAGCATTCTGATTACAACTCTGCAACAGACTCAGTTAATCGCGAATTAATCAGAACCCATTGGAGCATGTGGGAAAGTGTCCTTGGATCCCGTATCTGCCAGTGAAGGGAGATCTTTTAGATTGGATCATGGTTAATTCAATTCTAGGAGCCTCTTTCTGCAAGCTGAGCTGTTGAATCCTCTAAGGCTCAAAACGGGTTTCAGTTTCCTTGAAAATGAGGTGACCGAGGCCTGCGGAGGGACCAGACTCTGGGTACCAGAGCCCCACTTATGCTGGCTTTTGCAATGCTACATCGGTTCGGCTCTTACCCTGCCCAGCTGGTTTGTTTAAATCCTAAAAATCCCCCAAGTGGCAGCATTGTCTTGTATCTGAGACAGCTGGTCACTTCTTGGGGGCCTTTAAAATTTATATTCTCATTCGGGACTTGGTTTTTAAGGCCTTTGTATGCCTTATGGAAAAAATCTTTCTGAGCAAATAGCTGGTTCACAGCCTGAATTCTTCGCTCCTCAGATCTGTTGTTTTTAGTTACTGTTGAGGTTGGTTTGAGGAGGGGTTCCTCCTCTGGGATGGTCCTGTCTGTTGGGCAGCTGTCTTGTACAGTCCTTCTGGTCTTTCTGAGCACTTATTTAATTAGAGAGAAGATTTTTCTGCCTAGGGATTCAGGGCCCCATGAGGAGGTGACTTGTGGCTTCCCTTTGACAGCAAATAATGATGATTTCTTGCAGTAGGAATTAGCCTTGAGGTCTGTCTGCTAAGGTCACAATCATCCAGGGATTTGGGTTTGCTTAGAACATTCCCTGTCCTTTTGAGAAACCGCTCTGGAAATGTTTGTGTTTAAAGGAGGACTTCTGAACCCCTTTGGAGGTGGAAAGCAAGAGTCAAGAGATGCTTAAGACACTCAAGCATGCCCTGGGGAGTCTTGATGCATTCTCCCAGCCCTCCCTCCTTCACTCACAGATGACTAGAGTTTAACTGGTGGGGAAACATGGCTGAAATCTTTGGACATCTCGATAACTTAAAGAAGAAAAATGCTAGAGCAGAAAGGAAAGGAGCAGGTTTTTTTTTTTTTTTTTTAAATGCGAGAGTCTCCCAGGGCCTTGCTGAAGTGTGGATTTGTCTGCTCATCCTCATAGCCAGATTCCAACAATTTCTGGATGCATTAATGGTACAGAAGGCCTTAGGTATTGTAACACATTTCCATTGAGTTTTTTGAGCGCTGAAGTTTCGTCTTGGTACTTCTCCACCTGTTCGCTCAAACATTTTTGTTTACCCCTTTTGCTGCCTTTTGCTTCTTAAGACGTGGGCGGTTTTGAAAGCCCGAGCAGAAACAAAGCAAGCAGACAAGCGCCTTTTGTCCAAATTGTGTTCACTTTATTGTTTCTTGCAGCAAGATCTATCTGTGGTACAACACTTGCCAAACAGGCATGGTAATAAAATACTGCACTATATAACTTTGCTAACCAATAGCTTGTTGCAAACAAGACTGTATAACCTGCATTTCAGACTTTGGGTTTAGGTTGTGGCTGTTGAACTTACAAAACATGAGAGACAGGAATCAGCTGCTTAAATACCTTTTTTTGTTCTTAGGATCACACTTGAACTGTTTTTGTTAAGTGGCTTTTGATTCACTTTTACTAGAGCAGCTTGTTGTTAAACTTTCCCATGAAGCTGAATACAAACATTTTAATATAGTCTTAATATGAATATTTGACTCATGCTTCATGCTATATGTCAGGTTTATGTAAGGGCCTGATCTGTGGGAGGGAGCTCTGTGAAACTTGCCTTTAAGTGTACTGTTGAGTTGCTTGTTGGCAGGGATTCCCCCCTACCTCCTCCCCCAGAAGGGATGGTGGTAGGAGTCTGCATCCCCTTCTGTACATTTACATAAGCCAGAAATTACTTCATAAAGATAAGGGCACTGAACAGATCCCTATAGTATTTTGCTAGGAGAGCTTGGCATTTTTCAAGTAACATGAAACAAGGCCATATTAATTTGTGTTTAATCAAAATAGATATATCCGTATGTACTTAATCAACATTTCTATATGTACATGCACACACCCTCCCCATTGGATTTAAGTACACATGAATATATTTTATGTACCCATGCAATTTAAAGATGTGATGTACAAAGATAAGATGCAGAGCATCCCAAAATGTCAGTCCTGAAACAAGTTGATAGGAGTTCATAGGAGTTATTTTCCAGGGCTTTGCAAATTTTGCTTGCCGCTCTGGCCAAATCTTTGGAATACCTTGTTTGCTTGTTACCCTAATAATTCATTTAGAAGCTGAATTAATGCTCATTGTGACCAGATCCATTGCTAATGCAATACTTTTGCCATGGAGGGTGACTCTTCTGCAGTAAATGCACTTGAGAGACGGTGCGGGCTGATGGAAAGAGCACTGAAGTAGGAGCTAGGGGTTCCTTCTGGTCTCCTTTGCTTAGCAGCTGCTAGAAAGTTACCCAACCTGTTTTTTAACCCATCGATAAAGTACGCACATTTATCTCACAGGAGTGCACAAAGGATTGTTTGCACAGTGCTTGGAAGATGAAAAGGTGCTAGCATTAGTACTTTGTATTTAAACACACTGCTGAGTAGAAAGCCTTCTTGGTAAAATCTAGCGTGGGCACTGGTAGTGTCAGGAGCTCTTGATGGACAGCCTTGCTTGTAAAGACAAAAGCTCATTCTCTACATTGTGTATTCCCTATTTCCTGAAGGATATTTCATCTCGTGAAGTGATGACCTGATGTTGCCTGCCTCTGCTCATTGGAGGCTTTCAAAGTATTATGCAGTGTTAATTTTCCTACTTCTAAAATGGTGGCAATCTGAAGGTATGTAGGTGAAATCACTTGCTGAAGTTCATATAGGAGGAAAACTTTGGTTTCCTAGTGATTAATTCTCACAATACCTCCAACCTAACTCATGTATTACTAAAATTATTGATGAAAGGCAATTGCTGTAGGGTATTATTCACAAGCCATTAATCCTTGCTTGTACTGGAATACTTCAGCCGACTTGGAGGCCGAAACATCCCTGTTCATTCACTGACAATAAGGTAGACCATTCAGGGCTGCCTGTCTTTCAGCGTTGTAGTCTCTTCTTCCCAAAACAGTGGATGCTTTGATTTTTAATTAACGTAACATGTTTAAAAATATAGTTGTGCTCTTCTGTTGCAACAGTGCACTGTAATCATTCCCTCTGCCTCCCTAAAAACTCTCTCTGCTTTTGGTCTTGCAAGTCAAATTAACATTAAATTGCCATAATTTTGCATTCTGTCAGTGGGAAGCCATCTGACAGCAGAGTGCTGAAGGCGGCCAAGTAGAATCGAATGCATCAGAACATACATTTGTCATTGAGGAGGACTTAAAAGTGGTTTTGCTTCTCAAATCTGAGCACGCGTATCAACACTTAATATGAGCATCAGCAAAACTGTGCAGTTGGGAAGAGAAGTCCTGGTCCTGCTGGTCTCGTGGAAGGTGCCCAGTGATATAGAAGGGGGAGAGGTATCTCTGAAGCCTGGCCTCGCCTCAGTGGTGTCCTCTTGGCTCAGTGACTCATGTAGGGGCAGTGAAGCTTTCATTTTTTTCAGTGGTAGCTCAGATGTGTTTCTGAATTTTTAATTTCCCCTACTCGGCTGCATACCAGTCACTCAGGTGGTGCTGAGGAGGAACCGAGTGTGCTTGCTGTAGCTTCGGGTTTGCAGAAGTTGCTGGCACAGATTTCTTTGCTCCTCTTACCTTGTAGAGTTTACTCCGTGTTTAGTTTTGGGGCAGCATGAAAAGGCTGCTTTACCCTTGGAAGTTGGGGGGCGGGGAGAGACAGTCCCTCTAATGTTTATATAATTGACTTTTGTTAAAGACTAATGACTTGAATTGTTCAGATTACAGTTCCGGGTTATTACATTTCATGTGTAAGACGTTCTTCATGTTGCACATTAGACTGCTTGGCTTGCCAAGCTTCTAAGGAGGGTTGTGACTAAGTCAACACGTGTTCTGTTTCCTAGACGTAACGTTTTCCTTTACTTAATATATCAGTATTGAGAGCAAACATGAAGTCACAATCCTAGGAGGACTCAATGAATTTGTAGTGAAGTTTTATGGACCACAAGGAAGTAAGTATATATTGTGCCTTCCATGAACCCAGCGTCACAATGCTTTATGATGGCCTCGTGAGAAACGGAAGCGGATGACCAAGCACCACGTCCCTTGTTCCTCTCTAGAGACCGGGAGTAGCTGAGAAATCTGGAAACTGGGGCAAGGTGTCAACTGCTGTCATTGTGTTTTAGGTTGCATTTTGTCCTCAGTCTGTCGTCCCCCTCCTCCTCCCCATGGATAGTGAGGGAAGGTGGGGGAAGGAACCGAATTTCAGACACTAACCCTGGATGAATGTGGCTACACATAGCTGGATTAATAAGGTTGGGAGTTTGGCTGCTGTGCAAAAGTCGCAGCTGTGCCTTTTGCAGGCTAAGTCTGAGGTCCTCAGTGCCATTCCCCCTGGTGCTCAGCACCTCCAACTCGGGGCCTCTGAGCTTCGCATCTTCTGCCAAATGTTGTGGAGCATTCGTAAGCCATGTTGAAGATGGAGATGGATTATTCCAAAAGATTGGATCCCTTGCTGGGTTTCTAACGTGTCTGAGTTTAGTAATGCCTCTGAAGGTAAGTAGATTATTCAGAACTATCATTTGAATAGGACTTGTGGGTATCACAAATCAGCAAAATATGTTTTTGTCCTCAGCAAAAGCTGTATTTAAATTCTGTTGTCTTTGTGAAGGATGTAGCCCCTCACTACTCTGGGAAGGCCTTTATTGTAGGTCTTCCCATCAGAGTTTTGCCTCCGAGGAGGTTTGACATGGGGTCTTGTTCCAAATCCTTTTTTTCCAAGGACTTGTGTTGCTAAATGCCATTGCATTTTTACTCTAGCCAGAGCTCTGCAGTATGTCTAATTCCCAAATTTTTTTTGTCTCATTGCAGCACCATATGAAGGTGGAGTGTGGAAAGTTAGAGTGGACCTTCCTGATAAATACCCATTCAAATCCCCATCTATAGGTAACCAATCCACACTTCCACTCTGTCTTTCTTGTTTGTCTAATGCCATTTTGCATTCATAAATTTAATTCTACCAAGAATTCCCAAAATAAGGTTGGTGGGATTTTTGGTTTTATTATTTTTTTTTGGTGTTTTTTTGGTGTGTTTTTTTTTTTTTTTTTTAACCCTTGGCAGGAAGGCAGAGATCTCCTGCATATTTGAGCTTTCTATACAGAATATTTATAAAGTCTACAGGGAGAATGAATTTGCTGTTTAAAATACTGGATTAGGAGCTGGATGTATGGGTTTAGTTCCTGATTCAGCTCCAAAGTTTCCCTCCATGACCATGAGCAAATTTAAGCTGTCAGTTTTCCCATTTGTCAGGAAGCAGATACTTCACCACCTAGGAGGTGGCTGGAATGATTGATTTTTGTTTTTGAAGTGCTCAAGATACTATAGTGAATGAGCAGAGTGCAACGCACACGTCTACCTCGATTGAATTATTCATTAACATACACTGGGGTCTGTGTGCTTTATGCTGTAATGTTCGTGTTTGGATTGGCCTTGGGTTAGAAGTAAGCTGTTTAAAGATCTCTTCAGTGTCATGAAAGGAAACTAAAAATGGAGAAGATGGAACCTGCATCACCTTCCGTTTACAAATAATGGGCTTGGAAACGTTCTTGTATGCCGTGAAAGAATGTAGGTCTCTGCTTATATAATCAGAACAACGATCAGCTGATACAGCTATCATGGTGGGTGGCTGAAATAGTAATTCGCCTGTCCATACTGAATCAGTAAAGAGCATGGTAAGCAAAAGTTTTCATGGTAGGACACATCCATACCATGTCGTTTAGTTTTTTAATAGTAGCAGCCAGATTTTACTGTCCTCCACCATATTCTCTGATAGTTTGGGCTAACTTGAATACAGAATTTTCAGCGTTGCTTGAAAAAAACCACAGCAAATTGAACTGCATGATTGTGTTTCCACACCCCTTTCTTGAGGTATCAAATAAGTGGAGTGACATGGCGGCTTCCAGTTGAAAAGTATTTGTAGTTCAGTTGACTGAAGTCGTCTTAAACTCTTCCATCCATCTAAAACCCCAAGAAAATATCTTGAGGAAAATCGATATGGAAACTTGACTAAGTGGGTTGGACTAGATGGGTCCCTTCCAATACCAGCCTCCTGGTTCTAAGTTGTCAAGCGTTCATTGATGACTTAAAATAGAAAGAAGCCTCCGTGTCAGAGTCTATTTTTAAAATCTTTGTCTCTTGTGAGAACAAATTTCTCATCTCTTGTGCTAACTATTCCCTTTGGGGATGATGAAGCTGCATATGCAACGTGTGTGAGACTTATATAAAAAATCCTAACTGGGTGACCAAGATGCGCACACATCTGAACTGATCTCATTGCTGCAACCTTACTGCTTCCTTTTGTGCTCTACAGAGCTGTATTTGAAATTTTAAATTGTAAGACCTTTATATTGAAGCCTGTGTATCCAAGAAGCGCAAAGTGCTTCTGGGTGTTGTGAATTCATTCTCATCTCCTAAGAACCATTATTTATGTGCTGTAATCTTCAGTGGGAATGTGGAGTTGGCTGTGGACTAACCTCAGAAAGCATTTAACCTCTGCTTGACCTAGCAAACACTTTTTGGCTTTTAAACCTTTTGTCAAAGTGCAGTTGTACTTTTCCTCCCACCTGATCTGCTCTGTTTCCCATGTTGGGAGTCGCGGCTGCTGACTTGGCAGCAAGAACACATTCCTGTTAACCATGCCGAGTCTACGCAACGCGGACCAAGCCAGGGTCTGTTCCAGGAATTGTTCACCGTGATGCAGTGAAAGCACTGGGACTGCCCAGGACACGGTTTGCTCCTGGGGGGTGTTTAGTTCTTGTGATGCAGAACGTGGTTGTAGCTCCATTGGGCTCTGTTTTGATGTCTGTATCATTTTAGTCAGCCTTCAAAGGAGACCTGCACTCATGTACCCCCTATAAAGCTCTCTTCTTCCTTCCTAGCGTTCCTTTCACTCACTCCTTGTAATAGGGGGTCTGTGGCCCAAATCTAGCTCCCATTCAGAGAGGTACACAGCCTGTATGCAGCTAAAGTTGGCTACACAATTGGCACATGGGGACATAGACTCAGATTTTGGATCCTGCTTGCAAGTATATGCCTTCTTTTCTTTTTTTTTGCCATCTTGAGGATAAACTCAGTAGGGATCCACTCTGGTTTTCCTTTGCAGGAGTTTTACTTTCCCTAGGTAGGCATGTAAACCTTGTGCAAATCCCCAAAATGTTGGTCACAGAAAAATCATGACTAGTGACTGCAGGAAGAACCTTTTAGCTCAGTAGGTTAGCAGTTGGGGAACTTGATCCAGCCTTAAGCCCTCACCCCGTTTACTCCCAAGGGGGTTTAAACTTGTCTCTTAATGTGCTTACCACCAAGCCTCAGGCTAGGCATTGCACAGAACACCCTCGACTTCTGCCCAACTGGCCTGGTGAGCGTGCAAGAGGGGCAGGAGATCAAACCCCCCTTGTGGGAGTGTGGCCCAGTGAAGTGTGAACTGCTCTGTATAGAAGTGCTTTGAGTGCAAGTCCCTGCTCCCTGATGGTACTGAAGCTATCCTACTGCTGTGTATTAAACGCCAGGTGCAGAAACACCATTGGGGCAGCCTGGGTGCCCAGTGCGAAGCTGAACCCAAGAGAGCTAGTCTCAACAGCCCCGATGAGCTGATTTCTCATCGGCCGCTCTGCCCAAGGACTTCTGGGGACGGGTGGGGAATGGGATTGGGACTGGCTGCCAAAGGGGAGAGCAGTGAGGACATGGTCCAGGGCAAGATGAAGGCAGCTGCAGCAAGACAGAGGTTTTCTTTTCCTTTATGTGGCTTGTGCTTTTGCTGCCCAGTCTGGGTCAGGGTAGGGCCAGGCCTGAGTGAACCCTTGGCCCCTCTGGGGACAGCAAGAGCTCCCCACAGGCACTTCTTGCTTGATCCACATAAGTGTTGCAGGAGGGATGGGCAGTGTCAATGGAGCCATCTCCAGTCCTCAACAGGAATCCGGCTTGGGGGTGAGATGGAGAAAATCCTGCAGTGATGCACAGCCCCATTGCAGCTGGTGGCTGTTGCAGTTCGTTCTGGTTTCCTTGGAGCACACAGTTAATGACACCACTTGCCCTCGCCACCTGCGATCAGTAAGGTAGCTATGATCCTGGACAGTGAAAGCCCGTGGCTCACCTGCAAGGAGTCCTGGTTTTGGTCTAATTTTATTGATCCGTAACAGAAGGAAAAGGGGAAAGATGACTTCAGTGAGAGAGCTCTGTCGTCCGGTTCTAGGGACAGCTCTCTCCGAGAGGCAGGAGAAGCTTTCTTTGCACAAAAAATGTAGATCCCACCACACTGGTTGCACATGCATGCAGAGTTTAAATAGGCTGCCAAAGTCGCTGACTCATAAGGTGTAACCCTCGTCTCGAACAAATGACATCGCGCGTACAGAGATGTTCAGACAACAGTACTGCTTTTGCCACCTTCCCTGTGTCTTTGGTGCTCTGTACTGAAATATATCAGTCCATTTAAAAACTCTTAATGTGAACTTTGCAAAAAGGGGAGAAAAAAAATCCACTCAAGAAATGTGGTGGCTTCCTAAAGGGTACTGAAGGTCCAAAACGCTGCTCTTGATGAACGGCAGTTAGTCTTCCTTGTATGAAAAGTGGACTCTGATGAACCCTTTCCAATCGGCTTTTATCCCAGCATGGCATTGAATAAGGTACCCAAGAACTTGACCGAGCCTGTTGTTTGGAGTGTACTTCACTTCTGTGTTTTCCTCCGAAGTGTTGCTAAAATTACTGTCCCTTTTCTTACGTTAGAGGCATCGGACTTATTTGTGCTGCTGCAAGGGTAGGTCTTCAAGAAAAGATTTAAAATGGAGGACCTGCCTTTTTGGCATTGAAAATCCTGTGATTAGTTTTGGCTCCGCTGTGGTGCCTGATGTATTGTTTTTATCCAGTTTGGGTCTCTCCTCCCCCCCCCCCTTGCTTTTGGGTTATACAAGGCATTTTCTTCTTTCCTTTTTGTTTTTGTACATATTGCTGTACCTTGTTAAAGAATGCCCTGCCCCAGAGATGGTGCTCTCCCAATAATGTGAGAAGTGCTTCCTATTTATAGTTTATCAAGCATCCTGGGATCTTTCTACATGAAAGATGCCATCAGAATGGAAGTTCTCACTAATGCACTTACAGCTTTCATTATTTTGGCCTGTGGGTTCCTGCCACCTACTTCTGACTTTGCATATTCATTGCTGCCTTTCTGCTTGTCAGATAAATCACTGAAGTTACCAGGCTCAAAATAGTCTCTAACTTTCCATGGCAGAAGAATATTCTTTCAAAGACACTGGCATTTCATTTTTGAAGGCAAGGATATAAGCTTAAATGCAGATGTGTCAGACTGGCTCTGATCTTGATTTCAGATGTGGAGAGAGAGAGAGAGCCTGCAAATATTCACTCGGTCACAATTGTGGAGCCTGGAGCTAAAATCTAAGCCAATCACTCTGGAGGGGGCACGTCTGTGCGTCTCCCAGGAAAAAATTGTCCAGTTGCCCCTTGAAACTGCTATATGCTGCTTTTAATGGTTCTGTCAGCAATTTGTTTAAATTCCCTCGTCTCCCAGACTTGTGCATGCACTGGTTTCTTCCAACTCCCCAGTGGGTGAACTGCTTACTACTTCAAACACCCTCGTGGCATTGTTTCTCTTATTCTCTTTAGACTTGGATATCTTCAGGAGAACGCGCTTCTCCGTTTTGTTCCTGCTTTTAAAAAATTAAATAGTTTTGCAAAAATCTTGTTGGTCTGATAAAAGATATCATCTCAACTATGAGTCCTGATTGCTTTTAAAAGGGGAATTTCAAAGTACTTTTCAAGATCCCAACCCATGCAAGAACTTTGAACAAATTAAGAACTAGCCAAAAGCAACAAATCTGTTCATATGCCTGCTTAAAACCAGAGATTAATAATGGGCCTC